CACTGGCTTGAGACTCTTTATCCACGAATAAGAATGAAAGAAAAGAAAATTGCTTTTGTCAAAAAAAAGGCGCGTTCGAAGTGCCCACGGACGTCTTTCACAAATGCTGGCGACGGGGATGCTTCCACTTGGTTCTTGGAGTGCCTTCACTAGAAACTCTTTCTGGCCTTCTGCTTATTGCATTCACATCTTACACTTCTACTCCATCCTATTCTATCGATCGATTTGTCTACTCTCCGAAATCGCGCGCTTTAACCCGATTCTTTCATTGCGTCGCCTGATACGTAGCCGGCCAAAGGCCAACTTCTTTCCATGCCTCGCCTTTGGCTCCGCCCGAATTACCTTCGATGTCCATAGAGTGTAGTTTTTGTACGTTTGTTTCTCTTCGGAAACCGAATCTTCATGCGTGAAACTTTGTGTGCTATTTCCAGTGATCACAACTGACACATGTCAGAAAGAATGCAAGAATTTTCCGCGAAAGATTCCTTTAACGAGGACGAATGCGCGATTGGCAACCTACGCGTATTCTACCGTAATGTAAGTTCGTTGCTGTGAATAGTTTGAGAAGTTATGCATCAAACATCATGATCCTATCCTCTCCATGAATCGAGCTTGAGAGCCATTCTCCACGACGAGAAGGATGGATTGTGCTTTTGTTGAAAAATTCGAAACTGAGAAGGCTGTCAATCGTCCATCGTTCAAATTCCCACAGTTCAACTGTCACAAATGTTGGCAGAGAGAACACTTTTTCTAGGGCTAGTAAATAATATTGGCTTTCTGTCATATTTCGGGAACATTCCATTTTGTTATTTCCTCATCTATTGCCTTGAAGGCACTAATCGGAACCGAACTAGTGCGTTATTTTGTCTGAAAATCACACAAAAAGAGTGATAAAGCATAAAGCATTTGCCGTTGATCAATCCCGTTTTGGGATGCGGCACGCATTCTACTTCCATTTGTACATTCGCAGTGGCATTTGAATGCGATGTGGCCTATACAATGACTTGCGGGGGCCAGCCGATGTTCAAGTCAGTGTTTTTATCCTCCCAGACAAGTCTGGTACCAATTAACCGACCCCGGAGGGATGGAAGGCTTGGTTGGCCCGGGCGACTCACGACCCAGGATTCGATCCCGGACCGCGGGCGTGGTAAGCGCGCCACTTGCCACAACACCACTTCAGCTCTTTAAAGAACGTCAGTAGGAGAAAGGGCAGAAGCCACAAATTGAAATTTCCCTGGTGTGGTCGCCTGTGGCAAAGACAACGCGCTGCGAGGATAGGGAAAACGCGATTGAGCATCGCACGCTACGCAAATGCCACGTATGCCTCGATTGCTACGAGTGGCAGCGAACGCAGCGGCCAACAAAAGTCATCAACTCCTTTGTCGCGCACTCTGAAGTCGAGACAAGAGAGCTGACAAAAAAGGAGAGCAAAAATTGGAGTTCTCATGAAGGAAGAAAAGGATTTTTCTGAAGATCTAATCGAGATCCGTTTGAAACATTTTGTCTGGACCCATCTCCAAGAAGGAGCACAACAGATGACCGCAGGTTGCGCTGGCACCAAAGCGTACATACTTACAAGTGTTATGTGGAGTGGTCTCGGGACATTAGTGGTACATGACTACAATAAGCTTTAGTTTTAAACTCTTTAATTCTAATTTTCGAAGCAATAGATACAGATGTTTATAAGCTTTACGTATTATACACGCCACATAGAACATGTAGAATTCTAAACGAACGGTTACTATCTAAAGTAACTGGAATGGTTCATAATCACCTACTTTTTCTCTGTACACATAGTATTCGCAAAGGAGAAATCACAGCAAATATGAGAAAAAATGAATAGAACAACGACAGAACCTCTATGGATAACGGTTATTCTTCGACGATCAAGAACGCATGACAATGCACATCAAGCACAGCAGAACTCACAACCAATCAGTGGCAATTAATAATGAATACCCATCTCAGGGGTCGCTTGCATGGAGACAGACAGCTAAACTATAAATTTACGGCTGAAAGCTGCTTATTCCCTGACATTAATCACAATCTGCTTGTGTTTTGGATCGTCGAATCTATCCATGGTTTGAACGGAGTTCAGCATAAGGAATCCAAAGATGAAACCAGCAAGCAGGATCAGAATGGTGACGATGGCTGCAAAAGTAAATATTTCTATCACATCGAACAGAATATAGGCCCGCTGATTAGGACCACAGCTAGCTGCTTACTGGGCCGCAACTCGTTGACACCTCGATATGAATATAATTTTATATGAAAAACAGCATGGGTAAAATCTCTACAATGTCATTCGGAGCTCATTCTGCTGATAACTTGGAAAAATTTGAGACCATCTTCCTAGACGCAAAAAAAGGAGTAAACATCTGAGTGGCCCATGAATTCCTGAGGAACATCCCTACTAGGCAGGACCACCGCCCGTCCGACCGAGTCGGATTTGCGAAAGGTGGGGGGGGGGGGTAAATGCGTGACCAGAATGATATCGTGGCGATCACTACTTCATAGTTTTGATGTCAATGCCGATTATGGTGGGTCCATTGCGGCTCTGGAGCAGGGCACGCCAGCTTTCATGCGCACAGCGCAGAGAGGAGGCCGAGAATACCGCTGAAACCTACGAGTTTTTTCTCAAAAACTGATGAACATAATCAATCTGTTATCGAAGGCATGACCCAGGCAGAGGTTGTACGGTGGACCCCTAGAGGACAATCACAGATGTGGCGTTCCCGTGCACGGAAATCAACCGAAAAGCGCTAGGGCCTTGCAAAGTAAGCTGCTGCAGCTGCATTTTTTTTCTCAGGCTGTTGTCTGGCGCCCTCTCATCTGTTGCGCTCTCTCGCCTCATACTCTCCTCTCCGCGCTTAGTCTCTCATTCCCTTAGCACAGCCGATTAGGAAGGTGAGTGAGCCCTCAACCTGAGCGTTTTCGACGGATTCTTTTCCTTTTTTCTTTACTGCCGGCCCATTCCACCCATACATTCGTATTCGTGTGCAAGAACCCAAGCAATTTGACCCCGGAGTACGCCTTTGAATCGTGAATTTTCGAAAAAAAAAAACGGACTTCCCTTTCGATGCCATCAGTTCCTTCATACGCAATTTTGAGAAATGTGGTATAGAAATTTGGGAATTCAAATTGTTTTCACTTCAAATAATATTTAAATTCACTGAATGATTTGTCGAAAAATGTTTGTCTTACTTTTTTTCGTGCAGGCGCGAGTTTTGGACTTCTAGCCAACGAAAGTATTTACAAAATAGATTTCGTGGCTCCGAGCTAACCTAAGGGGCACATGTCACAAATGTGCTAGTTTATGAGTTGCAACGATCAAGTGTTAAACTAAAACTGGTCTTCAGTAAAGATTAGATAATTTGGTTTGGAATTTCTAATAGGATTTTTGCAGAATAATTTGCTTCAAAATTTAGCTGTGAATCTTTCCTTTCGAATCTCGAGGGGCGAACTTCTCACACTAATGGACCTCCTACTCCAAATTTTCATCCGAAAACGACCAGATTCCTCGAGGCAATCTTTTCGCTCATGCTAGACTCAGAATTAAGTGTTTAGGATCGATAACCCCAGCTCTGAGCGCAAGCGCATAGTATGGTTTTGAAGTCGCGAAGCACTTGAAATTCTTCTCAGCCTTGCTATGGCTTGTAAACCGCTACCTTCTGGTTGAGAAGAAAATTTGAGCTAGCGGATGCGATCTAGTTTTATTCTACGCTCTCGCTCCACAGCATAACTCTATGCCGAGATGGAGCATTGAGACGCGCAGATTTCAAATCTTCGTTGCAGGGGGGGGGAGATGTAAAAATTTTGAAACCAGTCGGGCACGACGATTGATCCTGCCACCAAATCGTGATATAGTTAGGACATAAAGTTGAACCACGCCGCCATCTCACGTCCACCAATGCTGCTTTTTAAACAGTCATTTAAGCACATGAGTTACATAGGTGCGTTCCGCACACGAGTAAGCAAGGACATTACCTTTCAAAGCACGCAAATTGGACTAGACACAATAAATTCAACGTATTTGATAAAAGAACTGGTGAATATGAAAAGGAAAGCATATAAAGAGGAATAGCGCTCTCGCTACTACGAAAAAGGAAGGGCAAGTTACATTCGCTGAATGAGAGGTCGAAAAAAAATTAGTTTTTGTGCGATTAGTACCACCCACCAACTTTATCAAGAGAAGCTAGTGAAGACCGGAAAAGTAATTTAACATTCATAACATACCCATCCATGATCCGACCGAAAACGTTCCAACACAGTCATCTACTTGTCTGGTGAAATACATTTGCTTGGTTTTGTCGTCAGGTCTGACACCGAATGGTTGAACCTGCAAGAAAATAACAGAAGCTAGTATTAGTATTGAGTGGCGTAAATATACATTCAACAAAGAAGGAAAATACAGGAGGATAAAGTTACCTCTGTGTTGTAAAGAGATACACCGATCAGAACGTCCCCGGTTTTGGCTTTAAAGAATGCTGCTTGAGAATCACTGCAAGCTATCGCGAATCCCAGGACAGAGGTGAATCCAACGTTTTGCACTGAAGTGTTAGAAATGGCATTCGGCTGGGCAGTTGCAGTCTATAATATACACGGTTTGACATGTACAGGCTTAAATCGAATTGTTCAAAATGTTTTCCGGAAAAAGTAAAAAGGAAGAGGCAAAAGTATTGGGTTGTCCAGAAAATCCTGCGACACTTGAACAAATAACTTTAGGGAAAAATCAAAACCCTTTCAGTTGTTTTGGCATTTGATTACTGTAGTGTGTCTTCGAGGTTTCCAGCAGAAGCGTACATGAAGGCTTCAAGCAGCGTTTTACAGCTCCAAACTTCTCTCTGAACTGAGCCATCTTTTGACATACTTTATTTCTCGAGCTCCTATGAAGCCACTCTGCTTGCATGCGTTGCAGCTAGCATCTGTGCTGTATTCAGGAGATGACTCGTTCAGCAGGCCATGGTGTCCCGTTGTCCCTAAGGCTTCGCATCCGGAGATATTTGACTCAAAGTAAAGCACTGCTCTGGTCGGCTGTAGGTGATGAATGGTGAGCATTTGCTCAACTTCCCAGAGGCGCAGCCGATTGCTACCAGTCGTGAGTTAGCAACAACGCTGAGGTGCACTAACTGACAGTTATCGAGGATCCCTACGTTCTTGGTTACAGGGCAGCATGTTCGCAATGGGTACCACATGGGTTGCACCAGTCTGGGGAGGCGAAGTGTGTGTGACAATGGTAGAGATGGTAAAGAGAGATAGAGATTCTTTGCAACAAAGGATTCTCTGGGCAAAAATGAAGAATAAAGAAGATAGCTCATGAAAAAGAGGAAAAGAGGAAACTGTACACATGAGCTCTATTGGATTCGACTGAGAGTGAAACTGCCTGCAAAAACTTTCGTAGAGAAGGGTTTTTTGTGTTTTTGATGGGGTTACAATTTGATCGTTCACAGAAAGTTCTGGATACTTGCACCGCGGTGGTGATCATTGTCCGGCTACCTTTGAAATTTGCACCGAAGCCACGCGTAAAGTTTACCCAGAAATGCACAACACTGTATTACCCTACCCCCTCGCATTCCTACATGTGACAAAGGATTACGTTTCAAAAGATCGTGGGTGATTGATTGGGAAGTGCGCGACAATTGGCTTACTCGCGGGGATAGCTTTCTATATATGGATTAAACACGTTGACGACGAGCGATTTTTTCCTTGTCGCGCGCATGGGACGAGGCGTTTTTTGCATGCAAAGCGCCGGTAACAACAGGGCAAAACTTATTTTGTAGCTCTGTAAAATCTCGAAATGCACAAAATGCCTTTGACTAGAGTACTCCAGACACGTTTAGAAACAAGGAAAAGTTGTTACTACTGAATGCTGGGTGAAATTTCAGTGACATCGCCTGGCATTTTCAAACCTCAGGTTAGAATAGGTTCTGAAGGCGCAATTTTCACGCATTCTTCATTTTTATTATTAATATGAAGCTTTCCTTTAAGATGATACTGGTATCCTGATCACATCTGAAATCTTCTACGAAATTTTTCACATAAAAATGACGCAAAAAACTTTGCGTACCTACTGACGGAATGAGCTTTTGTTTGACTGTTATCTTGTTCTTCATGATCGAATAAGTGATTTAAACGAGTCATTTCAAGGTCAAAAAACTGTTTGTGAAATATTTGGCAGTTGATGGACTGGATAGGTACTTTTGTCCTGCCTATGAGTAAGACTGAGCCTACTTGACCATCATGGGAACCTAAGCTAGTAATGGACATCCTACTGACGGTAACCTAATTAGTAAAGGTCGATATGAACAATTTTAGTGAGATTTCCAGTTTGCTGACGGTGGGAACTTTGTGGTTGTGATTCAATTGACAGCGCGTTTCTGCCACTGATAACTAATTCAGAATAAAACTCCCAGGAATTAGAAAGATCATAATTCGCAGACAAGTGTAGTAAGTTAGGACACTGAAGTAAACGTTGAAATAGAAAAGTCGCGGGTTCCATCTAAGTTTGCTTACTTTCAAGCTGTCGGTCACCATTGACCGACATCGTCCCATGTGACAGACTGCCTGTCGGTCAGCATTGACCGACATCGTCGCCAACGTGTTAATGCCCTGAAGCGCCGTCTAGAAGATAAAAAATCCGATGAGGTCAACTCGAAAATGGGATCGATCGCTTCTTTTCAAAGCAAACGCCGGAATCCTAAAGTAAGAGAGTTGAGAAGCTGCCCGGAAAAAGTGTACGTCTCCTATATGTAATGGTGATAATCTTGCTGATTGAATATTTCATTCAACAAAAGAAGGTGCAATCAAAAATCTTGGACAAAGTGTCGCAGGATTTTCTGGACAACCCAATAGTTATTTACGTGCATTGCATACTAGCATTTCGGTTGAAAAAAAACTAATGAATGCACGCACTGCAGGGGCAATATGGGAAGGGGCCGGAATAAAATAGGTTTTATAAAACAGCACTGCAACTAGAAGAATGCATCGACTGGAACGACAATTATGCAGAGTAATAGGACAATCTTCATCCTCCAGATACGTGTAAGTATTATATTACAGAAGAGAAGGGTGTGAATTGTTGGTGTTCGAATATCTAAAAATAAATACGACCAGATTGTAAGATCCCTTACATAAAAACTCTGCAGCTCACACAAGGGGGTGGGGTGGGGGGCAGAATGCCTACGAAACTCCACATTCAGCAAACACACCATGCATTATCAGAAAATGCTACCGAGCACGTTTGAAGCCAGCGACATCCTCCAATTCTTTATCTTCATACACAGAATTTTCAAGTGTTGTTAACATTCAATTCTTGGAAGGTTGACGTCAGGAAATATGTTTGTGTATTCTGCCATGACCAGGACTTCCCCCCACTTGGTGCTTATTGCCACTTTCAAACACAGTGTATGAACCTAACCATTCTAGGACAGTTGAAAAGCAATGATTCACACAAAAAAGAAAAAAAGGTTCTCGCCAAAAAACACGAGCAAAAGCAACACGGCACAAGGAGCACCAGGAAAACACAAATAGAATGTAATGAAATCGAATTTATCGATTGGAAGGCGTCGACTGGCTTTTGCTCGTGTTTTTTGGCGAGAACCTATTTTTCTTTTTCGTGTGAATCATTGCTTTTCAACTGTCCTAGAATGGTTAGGTTCATACACTGTTTGAAAGTGGCAATAAGCACCAAGTGGGTTCATTAGTAAGCAAAAGCAGTAATCCATACAAAAAGGAAAAGTTTTGGGCTAAACAACCGCAAGAAAAAGCAAAACGGCACACAAAACGTCAAAATACAGAAAAAATGTATCGAAATTAGCATTATCGATCGAGGGAGGCGCCGACTGCGCGCCAAGTACGCGTTGGGCGCCAGAGCGCGTGTTGACTTTTTTCAC